AGTAGACCCCGCTAAAATGGAAGCAGCAACAAATTGGCCAAGGCCGAGTGGTGTGGGTGAAGTCCGCAGTTTCTTGGGATTGGCTGGTTATTATAGAAGATTCATTGAAGGCTTCTCAAAAATAGCAGGGCCAATGACTCAGTTGACAAGAAAGGGTGTAAAGTTTCAGTGGACAGAAAAATGTGAAAAATGTTTTCAAGAACTCAAGCAGAGGCTAGTCTCAGCTCCTGTATTGACGATACCGGAAGGTTCAGAGGGATTTGTGATTTACAGCTATGCCTCTAAGCAGGGTTTAGGCTGTGTACTGATGCAGCATGGAAAAGTGGTTGCTTATGCCTCGAGACAGTTGAAGCAGTATGAGCAAAACTATCCAACGCATGACTTGGAGCTTGCAGCAGTTGTTCACGCCTTAAAGATATGGCGTCATTATCTTTATGGTGGGAAGTGTGAAATTTATACGGACCACAAGAGTCTCAAATATTTTTTCACACAGAAGGATCTAAATATGAGACAAAGGAGATGGTTGGAGTTAGTGAAGGATTATGACTGCACAATTCATTACCATCCGGGTAAGGCTAATGTAGTTGCAGATGCCCTAAGCAGAAAGACAAGAACACAGTTAGCAGTTTTACCCACAGTACAGGAACACTTGATAAGGGAGTTTGATAAATTGAGATTGGAAGTTATCACGCCGCCACCTCAGATTTCAACGAGAATAAGAGCATTCATGATTCAACCTACACTTCGAGATCGAATCAAGGAGGCACATGATAAAGATCCATTTTTACAGAAGATAAAGGCCGAGATTGGTACAGATAAACATATAGGGTTTGAAGTATCTGCAGATAATGCGCTAACTTTCAAAGGAAGACTGTGTGTACCTAAGGATGAAAGTATAAGAAATGAGATATTAGAAGAGGCTCATTCAACCCCTTATTCTGCTCATCCAGGTGGTATGAAAATGTACCGAGATCTCCGGGATGTATTTTGGTAGAGAAACATGAAGAGAGGAATTGGTCTGTTCGTGGAGAGATGTATTATCTGGCAATAGGTTAAGGCAGAACATCAAAGGCCATCAGGATTACTGAAACCGTTAGATATTCCAGAATGGAAATGGGAACACATAACGATGGACTTTATGATAGGCATCCCGAGATCAGCAAAAGGTCACAATGCTATCTGGGTAGTGGTGGATCGTCTGACGAAATCAGCCCATTTTCTTCCAATTAAAGTAAACTTTAACTTGGAATAGCTGGCACACTTATACATCAGGGAGATAGTCAGGTTGCATGGAGTCCCAGTCACCATTGTTTCAGATAGAGACCCGAGGTTCACATCTAAATTTTGAAAAATTTTGCAGACAGCCATGGGGACAAAACTGAAGTTTAGCACAGCTTATCATCCTCAGACGGATGGACAATCAGAAAGAACCATCCAAACTTTGGAAGATATGCTAAGGGCATGTGTTTTGGATCTTGGAGGTAGTTGGGAGACACATCTGCCGTTAGTGGAGTTTGCTTACAACAATAGTTTTCAGGCCACTATAGGAATGGCCCCGTATGAAGCTCTTTATGGTAGAAAGTGCAGATCCCCTATCCATTGGGATGAAGTCGGGGAAAACAGAATTTTGGGTCCAGAAATCATTGAGCGAACAGTTGAGGCAGTGGATAATATTAGGGCAAGAATAAAGATAGCGCAAGATCGACAGAAAAGCTATGCTGACAGTAGAAGAAAGGATTTAGAATTTCAAATAGGTGACAAAGTCTTTCTAAAGGTAGCACCAATGAAGGGTGTATTGAGATTTGGAAAGAAAGGGAAGTTGAGACCACGGTTCGTCGGACCTTTCGAAATTCTTGAAAGGATTGGTAGTTTGGCATACAGACTTGCCTTGCCACCTGAACTAGCAGCAGTGCATAATGTGTTCCATGTTTTGATGCTCAGAAAATATGTTCATGATCCCAATCAAGTGGTAAGTTATCAGACATTGGATGTACAAAAAGATCTATCATATGAAGAAATTCCGACGGTACTTTTGGAAAGAAAGGTACATCAACTCAGGAAGAGAGGAGTTCCACTGGTTAAGGTGCAATGGCGAAATCATGGACGAGAGGAATCAACTTGGGAGAAAGAAGAAGAGCTTAGAACCAAGTATCCAGAACTTTTCGATTAACCAAGGTAAATTTTCGAGGACGAAAATATTTAAGGAGGGGAGATTATAATATCCCGAAATTTTATAGAATATAATTTAATTTTATTTATGCTATATTTTTAATATTTTGAAAGTTTAGGGACTAAAGTGTATATAAAGTAAACTTTAATAATATTTAGATTAAAATATAAATATTGACGGGACGATGATAAGTACACGGATATTGGGCTCGTTGGATAGATAATAATTAAAGACGCATTTTAGACTCGAGAAAAAATTAATTTGGGTTAGTCGAGCCCAAGTTATCGGAGCCGGAAGTACTAGGATTCTAAGTAGGTGGTAGGTAAGTGATAATTGATTTGTTTATTAAATGAAATAAAGTAGAGAGAGAGAGAGAGAGAGAGAGAGAGAGAGAGAGAGAATTATGGGAGGCCACATTCCTAATGGTTAAAACAAATTCCCTTGTATATATATGGTGCACTGCCACGTGTAAGATATAAATTATTTTTTTAAATTGTGGGCAGTTGGCAAGATTTGGGTCAAGATTCTGTTTCAACTATTTTGATCCATATCTCTTTCCCCACTTCCACACGTTTCCTCATTTTTTTTATATAGATATTTTTATTATATTATATGAAAACAATAGCTTTCATTCACTTCACTGTAATATTATTGCACGATAAGGCAGAAAGAAAAGAAAAGATAGTTGCAACGTGATTTTGGGTTTTCTTATTCCAAGAAATTGTTGGAGCGTGAACCTTGTTTTGACTTCCAAAATTTAAGCAGTTTAACAAGGTAGGATATGAGGTGCAGTATTTTTTTTAATTTCCCGTTTAATTATTTTGGCTACATGTGGACGAATTTCATATTTATGAAAGTTATGATATTAATGCTATGATATGAATGATATGGCCATTCTGGTACAATGAAATGAAATGATATGATATGATGTGAGCTCTTACCAGATTTAAAGTTATGCGACGGTATGGTATTCTGACACTTGTGTTAAAATTATTTTTCGGGATCGCACCATTAATGTAATATCCTACTGAGTATTCCCATGTACTCACCCTTTTCCTGCACCTCACAGGTTAGATCGGGTCCTGTTGGAGCGTGGTTGTGCCTCATTTGCTGGACGAGAATTTATAATTTTAACAAGTAATTTTAGTTCATTACCATAGACATCCTATTTTAAAGATTAAGTTATCAATTATGTTTATTTGCTACATGGAATTTTTTTTTTTTGTTTAATTCATTTTAAATAGAGCTCGAACTACATGTTACTGCTTTTATCGACTTTAATGGTTAAAAGAAAATTGATTAACTGTCAAGTTCACATCAAAGACTTTAGCATTTTTCTAAGGCATCTACAGCTTTTTCAAGATTTATAATATGCATGGCCAAAACAATGATTCTGTACTTCACACCAAATTTTCAATTGTCTGCCTACCACAGTTAACTTTATGCAGTGGAGTTGTATTATTCATTTGTACTTTGAATTGGATTTTATGATAAAAATATTCATAACCCATATTCACTAATCATGCTAGTATAAAAGATGTTAAATACGGTCAAATGTCATTTCATTTTAAGATGATAATTTAAAATTTATTAATCATGTGGTTTCCAATAAATTTGATCCTTTTATAATAAAGTTGGTAGCGACTAAAAATAAATAAAATAATAATAATAACAAAATAAAATAAAATAAAAATTTGGGTCGTTACAGCACATACCTCTGAAATGTGTATGACGATCAAAAGAGCGTAACAAGTGGGCTGGTAGCTCTCGAATGGCCTGAAAGAGCCAACAGAGATGCCCTGTTTCTATGGAAACAATCTAAGTGTGAAAGACAACTATGAAATAACAAACGTTACCATAACGTCGTTCGAGTGAAATTGAGCAAGCTCGATGACCTGTTTTCATCGTCATACGTACGGTGGGACGTATGTCGGTGGCCGTGGATGGTCGAAACGTCATTTTTAAGCATAAAGATATTAATGTCGTTTCAAGTGTGAAGAAACGATACCGATGTCGTTGCACTTATAATTTCAGCTGAAACGATTTCGAACTCGACTAGTTTATAATGAAACAAGATGGATCAACTTTCAGGAACAATTACGCTAGAACAATATCAATGTCGTTCTGAACGAGAAGAAACGATAATCAGAGAAGCAGTGTATATTTAACATTGAAACGATATTCATGTCGTTCTGTGTCTCAGGAACGCGTTTGAAATCGTTTTAGTACTAATTTTACCTGAAAAGACTTCTAAGTCGTTATTTTTGGTCATAACGAGGTCTAAGTCGTTTCTCAAAATCAGAGAAGCAGTGTGTATTTAACATTGAAACGATATGAATGTCGTTTTGTGTCCCAGAAATGAGTTAGAAATCGTTTTAGTATCAATTTTAACTGACGCGACTTAGAAGTCATTATGTGTGCCTATAACAATATCTAAGTCGTTACTCAAAATTGGAGAGGCAGTGTGTATTTATTATAGAAACGATATGAATGTCATTTTGTGTCCCAGAAACGAGGTAGAAATCGTTTTAGTATCAATTTTAACTGAAACGACTTTTAATTCGTTAATTATGTTCATAACGAGTTCTAAGTCGTTACGCAAAATCAGAGAAGCAGTGTTTTTAACATTGAAACGATATGAATGTCGTTTTGTGTCTAGAAAACAAGGTAGAAATCATTTTTGTATCAATTTTAACTGAAACGACTTTTAAGTCGTTATTTATGTTCATAACGAGTTCTAAGTCGTTACGAAAAATCAGAGAAACAGTGTGTATTTAATATTGAAACGATATGAATGTCGTTTTGTGTCTCAAAAATGATTTATAACTCGTTATGTTAATCTGTACAATTTTTGAACTGGAACGACATTCATGTCTACTGTAACGACATGAACATAGTTTGCATTCCCTGTGAGAAAATAGGAACATGAATACCTAAAATACTAAAATTTGATTCCAACGGTACAAAAATATTTCAATAATACAATGAGTACAAAATCTAATAAGTGATTTCATTCAGTTGATATAATAAGTATGAAGTCGTGCAGTTACAAAACAGGATAGTATTACAACATTAATGTTCACTAATAGCTTCTTGGCCCATGCAAGTGGATCGAACATGACCAGTTTTCTTGCACCTGCTGCACTTACGAGCCACACGCGTCTCTCCGACCGACCTTTTCCTCTTTTTTGATGGTCGTCCGCCCTGTCTTCGTACCAATGGTAGAAATATTTCTCTGGCTATCACATTCTTAGGAATTTGCCATTCGACCTCGTTCGGCAAAGGATATACAAATTTAGAATAAGCTTGCTTCCAACAAATACTCGTGTAAAAGGGGGTACATAATTTATAGCCCTCGTCTCCTTTAAACCTTGTTGCAGCAATTGCATGCGTACATGGAAACTTGTCCAAATCAAATCTTCTACACGTACATGTCATTTCGTAAAAATCCACAAAGTGGTGTTCTAAATTGTCACCAACTTGATAAATGTTCGGAGAAACCTGATTTACCTCAAACCCATTTGACTCATTATATGTCATGTACATCTTTTTCTCTAATGCTGGCGTGAGTTGGGTCACATATTTTTCTGCTTCAACATGTCTTTCATAAAATCACCTTTGTAGTATCCCACGAATATATTCTAGTAAACCAACTATGGGAAGTTCTTGAGCACTCTTCAACAAACCATTTATAGATTTCGCATTATTTGTAGTCATGATATTGTAACGTGTCCCGGTAACATGCGCTCTAGCCCAACATTGAAAATCTTCTTCTAATAGGTACTCTTTGATGCCCTCCTTTTTACCGCATAAAGCTGCCATGTAGGACTCAAATTCGGTTATAGTATAAGCTTTTGACGCTGCCCTATACAAAGTTGCAACATCACACCGTGGAAAATTTGTCTTCAAGTTCTTTTTCAAATGATATGTACAATTACCATGATGAGCAAATCGAAACACATTCCTAACTCCATTTTTGATGCACGTTGCACGGTCAAATATAATCACAAGGTCATCCGTATCACCTGTTATTAACCGTAACTTCTGAAAGAACCAAGTCCAGGATTCATCATTCTCCGAATCAACTACTCTCGATGCGAGTGGAAATATTTGAAAATTTGCATCCTGAGAAGTTACTACGAGTAGAGTACCTTTCATTCTCGATGTCAAGCACCGTCTATAGAAATTACCTTTCGCATTGAGTTTACAAACCCATGTATACTTGGTCCCAATGCCATAAAAAGGTACTTGAAGCGCCGATCATCTTTAGTATGAATGAATGTCAGTGTATCAGGATTTTGCATCTCCAAAACATGATAATATGCTGACAATTTCGCATAACTCTCACGGGGTTTTCCACGAATCAGTCAACAAGCAAAATTTTTAGCCATGTACGCTTTAGTATAGCTTACGGTTATGCCGAACTCTCAACGAACGTCATTAATAATGTCCCTTGGTCTATAAACTCAGTTGACATCTTCATACTTAGGAGTGATGTGGTTTCCAATAATCATATATGAAGCATGCCTATGATCTCTGTGACGAACACTCATGGAGCAAGAATGATGACCATTGTACTTTCGAACTTCGAAAATGGGACTTTCTACGATCTTGGTTGCCCGTAAGCTCCACTTGAAATTTTCATCAATACAAAAAATTGTATAAGTGCTCTTATTTGACTTCTTAACTTTGTACTCAAACTGGCACTTCACAGCTAGCAACTGTAATTTTGATATTAGGTTATATTTCGATGGAAACAACTTGTTGACTCGCACATCTAATCGTTCCGAAATTTTTACTGATGTCTCGTAACAAAGTGAACTTACACTTTCAGATACAATCTGAGTACATTCAACATCATTACCATTCACTAGATCCCTACTGCGAGGTTCGTGCGTGCGTAACTCAAAATTATTATCATCTGCCATAGGAGAATTAACTTCGTCATCTTCCCTTCTGGGACTGTCTTCACTTACGTCAAAAACATTACAATCTACAAATATTCCATCACCATTGTTATCATTACCATCGTTGTCTGCTCGATCTTGTTCCTCCTCGTTGTTCATATTTCCAATTTGTTCTCCACCATCTATTACTAATAAACATCCTTCATCACCAAAATCTTACTGATTCTCAACAACTTCATTTAAAATATTTACACAAAGAAAGGTTTCTGTACAGGCAGATATAAATCACTTTACATTGTTGTCACAATCAATTATGATTGGTGCAGCTGGAGCTTTAGACATTATTGGGACAAGAGCTGAAATCTCCATTTTGTATAGACTCGTATCGATATTCAATGCCTCCTTAACTTTATCATATAGTTCCATGTAAGAAATTATTTTTGCAACAAGAATAGGTATTGTTTTCCCTTTGCCATGTCTAGAATACTTCCATTTCCATCCACCTTCAACTGTCTACTCATATTCAATTGGATAACAAATCGATATCCATACCATATCCATGGTGTCCATATTCTGTAACACAACATATAAATTTCATCAAATTTCAAACATCATACAGTATTGATAATGATATGTACGTTGTCATGAATTTTAGAAAAATGATATCTATGTCGTTCACAATTTTATAAAACCATATGAATGTCGTTTTGCACTGAAAAAAATCAAATACACGTTTCACGTGAAAACAATGTGAAAAAAGCCAATCATCATTCACCACTTTATATTTCACTTCAATTAATACTAAGGAATACAAATAAGGGGTAATGAGAATAATATTGGGAAGTAACCCATTTAAAGATCCAATCAAATCATAAAATAAATTCAAAATCATTATTGAAAAATGAACACCACAAACACATATACAACAACATGAACAGATGATTCAAAAAAATGGAGAAAGAAAGTGGCTCAAATATTGAAAATTTACCATACCCTCTCTTCTCCAAATGCCCAATAAAAATATAGACAGACTTTATTATTCACTTCAACCAAATGAATGTTTAAGGGAATGAGAATGTAGATTTTGTGATTTCATTAAGTAGAGAAGAAGATGATGATAAGAAAATCAGCATGGAGGCATCTACCGTGGTTGGGTCATTCATAGAGGAGGGAAGGAGATTAGGGTTGAGAGGAAATTGAAATGAAAATAAGGGCAATATCATCATTTCACATACAAGGATTTTTTAGTCTTTTACAAATTCTATTTTCCATATTTAATAACTTTAGGCCTTTCAACTAAAAGTCTTAGTTCTTGGTCTTCTTGAACAAATGTTTAGTTTGACCAAGCCTTTTAAATGAATCCCCCAAACAAATTCTCTAAAAAATAAGTTTACTTGAAGGTGTTGTACATATCTTTATTTTGTTCGTTAATGCTATTGGCATATGCTTAAGGTACCATTTTACAAAAGTACATGTGTTTTTATTATATAATTTTATTACACTTCTATCATTGTATTAAGATTTTCTTGCTTCATGGTTCCATATGAATCTTTCGCTGGATTATAGCTATCGCCCTTTACTAAAGCTAATCCTTGTGCATGTCCCAGATATATACAATAATCTAAAGTATTTTTCCACTTTTCACAGGTATCAGGTCTTGTGGTTTGAGTAGTTTTAGCTACCAACAAACAAATAAAATTGAAGCAGCAATTTCTAAATATTTTCAAGGGTCATCAATATCCCGTAGAGTTTCCATAAGTCTTAAGGTAAGATGTATTAGTTTATATGACTATGTTCAAAAAATTTTGGATGATTAGTTCATCGGTCATTTTTTTCCTTTGGCTTATAGCCCTATGTGGTCATATTATAATGGATGGGATAAAAAATGAAAATATACATCAAGGAGCTAGTAGTGATAGAGGATAAATTAAGGGAATGATGATTTCAGTGTTTAGGACATGTCTAGTGTATACTTAAATAGGCTCTTATGAATAAAGTGATGATGTGATTTTTGGAAGGGATATGTTGTATGTTGAATTGATAGTAGTCTTCTCCACTTCTTTACCCTTAGCTTTTGTGATGTAGCATTACATAAACACCAACACAGAACTAGTCACATAGGGAGAAGTAGAAATCAAAAAAGGAAAGAGGAAGAAGAAGAAGAAGGAAAGGAGGAGGAGGGAAGAGAAGAAAGGGTGGTGGAAAGGTCTGTAACACTCAACATTTTAATTCATTCCCACCAATCTGCCTGTCCCATGTAAAAGGCTGTCTACATATATAAAATACAACATAAAAGAAAAAGGGGCTTGGGCCAGCCTAAAACATTATATAAGCCCAAGGCAAAAATAAAAGGCTTGGGCCAGCTCATAACATTATACAAGCTCAAATAAAATACTAAACTAAATAGCCCAATGTAAATGTCCTCATCAACTCTTCTGGGGTAGGAGAAAACTCGACTATGTTGAGTGAATAACTCATGGAAGGCTGCAATTAGTCTTTCAGCCATAAGCTGAGTGGTTGGATAAACTTCTTCCGACGTCTATAGACATGTGATCGGTGGTCTGGTCAACGGAAGGTCCTGCTAACTCTTATAAATCTCCAATAAGTCGGGATCAAGTTGTTGGAGTGTTTCTTCAAGGATCAATGTGCAATTACAATAAGGTCGGCCTACCCAATGAACAATGAAGCTCTGAATCTCTCCTTCATTAGTTAACATAATTCGTTCATCTAAAATAATATCAATTTTATCTTTGGGTATTGTGAGAGGTGGTGTTGAGGTTGGGGCTGCAATAGAGTTAGGTTGAGGATCCACGGATGGAGATAGAAAAGGGTCACCGGAGGGATTAAAATGGCCTTTATAAGCAACTAATTTCTCAACATTGAAAGTAGAGTAGTAGCCAAAATGTGATGAAAGATCAATGACAAACGTATTTGGACCAAAATACTTTAAAATTTTAGAAGGACCAGCACTATGGGCTTATAACTTGGAAGCAAATCAAGATGGACGCCGTTCCGGTCTAATTCAGATCATCACATAATTTTCAATATTAAATTCAACACGTTATGCAAATCAGCTCGAAATTTATATGATGCATTACTTGCCTCTAGTTGTTTATTGATCTCAATATGCAAGTCATGAAGATGTAGTACAAAAGCTTTAGCTGACACAGACACATCAGCATGTGGGGACATGGGGATAAGGTCTAAAGGTTTCCTTGGTTTATAATCATGAACAACTTCAAAATGACTCATACCTGACTGATTCATAGAATTGTTATATGCAATTTGGACTATAGGGAGGGTTAAATCCCAGTTTCGAAGATTTTTCTGAACTAGACACCTTAATAGATTACCAAGATTTCGATTAACAACTTCAGTTTGACCATCAGTTTGAGGGTGATAAGCAGTAGAGAATTTCAATTTAGTGTCAACCATGTACCATAAGGCTCTCCAAAAGTGGCTAGTGAACCGGACATCCTTATTTGACACAATGGTCTTACGAAGACCATACAACTTAACAATCTCATTAAAGTACAATCTTATTATTTTGCATTCTTTTCAGCAAGTCTAGCAATTGTTTTCTGAGGTTGAACTAAAAGTTATTCAATCAAATGATTAGATTTAAAACGAATC